AATACATTTTATCTTAAAAATTCAAAACACAAACACAAATTTGACAACTATTAATTTAAATTTTTGCCTGAGAATTTCTGGATGATTTTTCTGGATAATACTTTCGTCTTTATAGATGAAATGTGCTTCTTTCCGCCATTTTTAACCATCACTTCTCGGTTAAAAATCGATCATGAGAAATATCGATTTCGAATTCGAGAATCGTAGGAAGTGAATTTACTGTTGGCGCTGTAATCTCTGATTAATTTAAACCCAATACAAACGCATTTAGCATAAAATATTAACTTGGAATAAAAAATAAAAAATTCTGGTCTAAATCAAACACACAAAATTCATGAAAAATTCTTAAAAAAGAAAGTATTTATATACTAGATGAAAAATTATCGATACTTTAAATTGTTTCGCGAAAAGAAATTGTAACAATTCGAGAACAATTTGAGAACAACTATAGAACTTGATTTTATTTTAAAGAGTGAAGTCTCCATTTTAACAATCTTGAGTTTCTTTCGTTCAAAAATATTTATTTTTACATCATGCAGCAAATATAAAGGAAAAAATACTTTTCTTTTCGAAAACTGTAAAAATTCAAACATCTTGCCGAAGAGAAGTTTTCCCAGCACTGAACAATTTTTTTTTTCATGATCAGATCAATTATGATTTTGAAAATTGAAATCTTCCCTTTAACAAGCCCTTAAAACTAGCTAGTACGATTTCGCCATTTTACTGAACTTTAAACAATAATTCATCAACGAGTTATAACACCAAACGATCTGTATGCAAGTCATTGACACCACATAGATGGCGCCACTATGTTAAAATGAAACTACTAATTACGAGAAATCATTAATCGAGAGAAACAATTAATTAATTTTTGAAATTTCGTCGTCCATTTAAAATCCGTGACTTTCATTGTTTCATTGAATCTTCAAAATATGTTAATAAAAATTCTCGAATTTTGTTTAATGGATCGGAATACTTGTTTAAATGATACTTAATTGTTCGCGAATTATATTTATTATTTAGATTGAAATTGAACGTGGACACACATGAGAAGTATCATAAATTAAATACGCATGAAATCCAAATGAATCGTGAGAATGCACAAAGAATGCACAAGTTATATTTTGTAATTTTAATACACTTGCAATATGACGATTGTTAATTTTGTCAAAATTTATTCATGTATTTCGCAAGAAGAACTAAATTTAGATGCTAAGAAAGAGAAAAACGCAATTATTTATTAATAAACGCAATAAATCACAAATGGCAATAAAAATGGAAAACATATTTTTTAGGTTGGTATTTCAGAATATGTTGAATATGAACAGAGAACTGTATAAGGTGTCATGTCTATTTTGTCCTTCGTTGATGCTCGTGGACCATGCGGTATAAATTTATATAAAATGATCAATCTATTCATTACAGGTCTATGGTAATAACATTTCGTTTATAATATATACAGTATAGCTGACAATAGTTATTACAATTGTGTATTATTAACCATGATATATAGCATTAATGTCCATTTCTAGTCATTGGACTATTAGCTGAAAGCGTACATGTATTTAAATAGTAAATTATAATATTTTGTAACTTAAGTAAAACTCTGTAAATTAAGTATAACTGCACTGTAAAATGTCTTTTAAAATATATATATTAATTTGAAGATATTTTTTGGAATCAAATAGAGAGAACGTAACAGGTATGCAAAAATATAAATTTTGTTTTGTTTATAATTTCACGAATTTTAATTTTATTTATAGGCCAATTTCCAATTTGTGTCATTTATATACAGATTTGGTATAGGAATGCAAGAAACAGACACTTCCAACGATATATCAACTGAATTACATTTCTCACCCAATGTACCTTACTCTAAACAGCAAATTACATCCTCCGACAGATTATTATATTTCACATCGAGTGAAACCGATCATGATGCATCAACTTCTAAGTCTTATTCAATCTTTTCCAATGAAAGTGACAGTAATAGAGGTGACATTAATGATAACGTCAATTCGCAAGAGGAAGTATGGATGAATTCAGTTGGGAATCAACCTGATATAAAACCCTTTGTGGGTGTGCCTGGATTGAAATCATTTAAATGCGATCCAAACAAAGAAGAGAATTTTTACTTGCTGCTGGTTACAGAAGATATATTTCAAGAAATAGCAAACCAAACCAATTTATACGCAACACAAGTATTGTCACAGAAACAATCTGGTTATTTGAAACAATGGGTCCCCACTACTAAAAATGAAATAAAAAGACTTTTTGGTCTTCTCATTCGGATGGATTTAGTAAAACTACCTGAGTTACATTTATACTGGTCCAAAGATAAGATATACGCGCAAAATTTCACACAATCCATAATGTCTCGAAGTCGGTTTGAATTGCTCTTACAGATGTTGCATTTTACAAATAATGAAAACGCAAATTTATTAAACGACCGACTTTACAAAATCAGACCAATTATTGATACGTTGAATGAAAATTTTACGAAATACTATGATCCACCTGAAACTCTTTATATTGATGAATTTGTAATACCACTCCATGGTCATATCAAACAATTGAAGAAAAAATATACACACCAGAGAAGATACAAATATAGTATCAAGATATTAAAATTATGTTTCAAACCAGGCTATACTTATAACTTTCAAGCATATTGCAACAAAAGATCAGATCCAGAATCAACGAGTCCTACAAATGCCGTTATTTCGCTTTGTCAGAATATATTTTACAAAGGACATACCATATGTACTGATCGTTGGTATACAAGTATAGACTTGGCTCAAGAATTAATTACTAAAAATACACATTTAGTAGGAATGGTTCAACAAAATTGCTGTGGAATTTCTAAAGAAGTGGTTACAAAGAAATTAAAACGAGGAGAAATATTTGCAAAAGAAAATAGTATTGGTTTAACACTAATGAAATGGAGAGATAGACGAAATGTTTTGTTATTATCTACCAAACATTCTGTAGAAACAGTTACTAATAGAAAAAGAAAATCTAATTGTATTAGACCTAAAATTCTTCTTGATTATAACATAGGCAAGCCTCTTATTGATGTTTCTGACCAAATGACGATATGTTGTATTTCATCACACAAAAATGTAAAATGGTATAAAAAATTAGCCTTTGAACTGTTGTTAAATACAGCTGTTACAAATGCTTGGGTAATGCATAATAGCATAAAAAATAATTCTATTTCACTGTTAGAGTTCAAAAAAAGATTAGTCATGTATTTATCACATTGCCAGGATACAGTTTCTCAAAATTTACCTCGTGAAATTATGATGACCACTAAAAAACGCCATGAAATTAAAAAGAGAGAAGGTAAATTGACATCAGTAAGACAACGATGCATTTCTTGTTATAGAGAAAATGTAAAAAACTTCGGTAGTGAATTAGCAAGAAATAAAACAAAACGAGTAGCAACATTTTGTGCCGACTGTCCTAATGAACCTCATTTCTGTTTGACATGTTTTAACAAAGAACATCGTGACATACCACTTTAAGCATAAACTACATGTATCAAAATTTGCTCTATAATATTCTACTAATTATATAAATTTTTCTATTCCAATGTAAAATAAACAATCTTTTATATATATATCTTTTTTTTATATATGTATATCTTATGTAAATAAGTATATTTCAATATAAAATTACGTAAAAACTGTACGGTATGAAACATGTTATTTATTAATTTCATATTTATTTGAACTATAATTTTAGAAATAAGATTTAATCTTTTGTCTCAAATTTGATTTTTATTGTATTTTGTTATGTAAAAATGTATCTAACAATTATGTACAAAATATTAAACTTGATTAATAATGTCATATTTTCTTTTTAATAATGATTGTAAAAACTATAAGATGAACAATCTTATTTTTTTATTTAGATATAAAAACGAATTAATATTATTTAATTACAATTTAATTAAAATTTAGATTGACAAAGATAATTTTTAATTATGAATTCCAGAATTTAGAAAATACAGTTATCTTATTCAAAGATTTTAAATATAATATGATAAATTATTAAAACTACATTTTTGATTATATGGAATTTATAAGCAGGTTGAAATTATAAGTAGTAAAATATAATCGCTTTATTACGTTCTCAATATCATTTAGCATTAATTTTTAAGATCTTATAAATGAATCAATACCAAATTTTATAGGTACTTTAGTTACTATCACAATTTTTGATTCTAACATGCAACTATATTATTTTCTTATAAGAAAAGAAAGTTAATGACTTTATGTATAATAAATTATACTAATACATTAACTATTTCTGTGAAAATAGTTTTATACTATTTCTACGAAGGCAATGTTATAAGGCCTCGAATTTTGAAGTTCGGACGACGCAGAACTTACAATAATTCTTTAATTACATTTTATATGTGTATATTTCTTATTTTAACTTCTTCATTTGCTCACTGCCTTTCACATTAGAAATGTATGAGCGAAATAATAACATGGCAGTGAAAATTTTTAATTCAATATTCATAATACATTATTAAAATTTTAAGTTCACATGGACGGAAATTGCTTTCCCATATGGTACTTGTGTAGAACTATGACAAAATTGTTCGTATAAATCTATAAATAATCAAGAATTCCAACAAAGTACAACTGCCTTGAACGATTAACATTAAATTCAATAACTGTCTATTCATGTAATAGTTCAATGACTTTGTTTCACTTCTAACAATTGGGGGTAGTTTTCAACTATATTCAATAAGATCCCATCAATGTATGTCCTTAATTGCGTATTGACCTCCTGTTGTTCCTTTAAAGCTTGTCTTATCTACAATAATTTAAAGTGATAATATAATAATCGGCATAAATTTATATACATAAGTATATATACATTTATAACTTGAAACATACTTCAGATATACTACACAGTTCGCCATTATCTCCGGAAAGTTGACCGTCCATCTGTAAATAATGTAAACAATGAAAAGACAGAGCACAAGACAAGATACAAGAAACAATATTCACATTTGAATATAACATACTTGATCTTGATTCATGCCAGCTAATAATTCTACAGCGAGACTAGGTCCTTTCTCAGTAGAATTATTACAAGGATTTAACATTAAAAGTTCACGGCCTGCCTGCAGGGCCGCTGCAGCTTGTAATTCGTCGCGGGATTCCTCCAAACCTTATCGAAAGGAGATATAATTTTTATAATATTATTTCAAACGATCTTCAAAATCAATCAATTATAAAGGAAAAAATATTGATTGAAACTTACTTTTATTACGAGCCCGAAGTTCCGCTAATTCTTGCATTAATTCCTCTATTTTTTGTTGATCCTCGACTTTCATAGAAAGTTCTTCTCTAATAGCTTCAAGCTGATAGTGAGTTTCGTTAGCCCGGCTTATGGCTTGCCGCTCACTTTCACGAACAGTATCTATTTCTCTTCTAGCTTCTTCCAAATCATTTTCCAGCCGATTTTTCTCTGCTTTAGCTTTTTCCAACTGTTCACGTAACCTTCCTATTTCATCCCTTAAACTAGTTCCTTCCAATTCTATTGCTTGCAACTTGATGGCATAATTTTCTAATTGTAACTGTCGCTCGCGTTCTAAACGACTTGCCCAATCTCTATGTCTTCGTTGTTCCGCCTAGAATATAATCGTGTTATAAATTTTATATTTGTATAAATAAGTATACAATAATCATTACACAATATCATGATTAACACAGTTAATGTCAAGTTACCTGAAGTCTTTCTTCGGCTCTAGTTTCAGCATCTTTGGCAGCTTCTTCTAACATTAAAATTCTTGCTTGTAACATAGCATTTTCCTGTTTCACCCTAGCATACCGTTCTTCCCCGACCGATTGGGTATCTACTAAAGCATGCATTTGTTCTTGAATCATTTGAACCTGGAAAAATACAATATATTTTATAATTAATCTCTTAATTTTTACTTTCTACAGTATAATTATTAATTATAAATTAATATTAATATTAATTATAAGTAAATATTAATTTTCTGTAGTGTAATTTCACACACTTGAAGGTACGAAAATAATTTTTAGAAGATATAGCATAGAAGTATCAAGAAACCCCTATTGACGACGGCAAAGATAACTTCGCGTTTAAAAGCCCGCGCACGTACGCGTTTATCAACCAGTGATTCTCAATCAAGTCCATTAATATTCATTGTGTTAATACTATGCGAATTCTTGTACAAAAAAATTTAAACATAATTACGAAACATAAGTAATGATACGTTAAAAATAATTTTGCTTTAAGTTCAATACGTTTCTCTATAAATTTAAAATTATTTCGTATCATATGCTCAACAAGCACCACTATCTTCAAGAATACCTATATAGAATATAGAATACGCTGGACATGAATATATATAAAATACGAATTTACTTGGCTATAAAATTAATATTTTTTTTTTGTACGATAACTACAGCTCCATTTAAAAAATATAATTATCAGTTATCACTTTAGAGGTCAAACTACTATTTAAATATATATATTAAAACAATGTTTAGAAACATTAAAACATTAAATGTGTGATTTGAAAGTGAATTATGAATAATATTATGAATAATAATAATAAATATTACTTTTTATTTACATATAGCTTGCAACAGATAAATAAAAGTTAATACGTTAATTCTCCTACATGACATTCAAATTTAGTTACAAAACAAAAGTGAAGAATTCGAGAAGCGCATATTTTTCATTATATATATATATATATAT